CTGTAAAAATATTTTTTTAAAATTATAAAAAGAATATATTTGAGACCCTTACAACAATCCCTTTCATTTGATATATCACACGGTACAGTTTGTAAAACTTTTTTTTTTATTTCTTATTGGCCCCCCGAGAAATGATCCCGTGTTTGAGTCACAAAAATTCATACGTGTACTAAATTGATTTAAATTCAAATTGACTGTGATAGACGGACAGACACACGAGTGATAATACAAGGGTTCTGTTTTTCATTCGGATGTACAGAACCCTAAAACTATAAAGATACTGTGGTACTGCAAGATGCGCCCTCTAAAACTGTCAAATAAACACCTTTGAATGATTGCTTCCGGCAAATGTGCGAACTGATATGATTTATCACTCAGTAATCAAAATTTCAAACTATCTCTGTACAAAGCTGCTGTGTTTGATGGACATACGCACGCCTGAGTGACTTTGAGTGACTTTAAATGCCTTTCGCTTCTCTTTTTGACTTATACACCGTGGAAAATAAATTGCGATTTCGGAAGATAAATTTGAGGAAGTGATTTAAAACAAAAGAAAAAGAATCATGAATTGAATCTTTTTTCGGGGTAGTCTCTTCGTGGTTGATGGATCTGTCCCTTCGCTGACAGCATTCTCATTGGCGACATGAGTGAGTCAAGAATAATTATCAGAGCGATGAGAATGTCGTTAGCTGTAGGACTCGGGAACGTCTGGTACAGGAAAATTCATCTTTCATAGGGAAACGTTACGGAAAAACGACTGGGACCTAACTACGTCGACAGTGAAGGTCTCAGGACTGCGGAAAGGAAGTATCTCAATTCAGGAATATTTACATTTTTAAAAACAATTTTACATTTATTATTTGAATTTGGATCCGTTTCATATTGCGCATTTTTCAGACAACCGTTTACACATTTTTAACATTTCTGCATATGCAAATAAGTTCTCGCAATTTGCCTAACGAATTTGGCAACATTAACAGTGTGAGGATTTTTTTAAGTCGAAAATTTTCAGGAAAACTCGCTTTTATAAGTTATAAATCAGTACGAAACAGATCATTTTATAACATTTACAATAACAGGATAATACAAAGTCTCGGTAAATGTCTAGATGATGGCCCTTCGGGGGGGGGGTGAGTGGTATCGAAAGAGGAGGTCTCCCCCACCACTGTACCATAAAAAGTTCGTGGCGGTCTCACCCCCATAAAAAGTTATGGGGGTTAGATGGAGGTGGGGTATGGAGGATCGAAAGAGGGTAGGGGGATCTAAAGAGGGTAAGGGAGGATCGAAAGAGGGTGGTCACCTGAGTAAAACCCCATAAAAAATTTGCGGTGGTCTCACCCCCATAAAAAGCTATGGGGGTTGAAAGTTGATTATTTTGACAATCCTCAAACACTATAATTCAAATAAAATTCAATAAAAAAAGTATTTTCAAGCGGCTAGAGGATCGAAAGAGGGTCACTTGAACAATACCCAATAATCTAACTTAACCTACCCTATTGATAAAGATATTTAAATAATGTTTTATATAACTTTCTCAATATTTTTATGTATTTTTCCACTGCTTTTACCCTTGAATATTGTTTAAGAATGACTATATAAATATTTACATGTCTAGAAATGTATAAAAATTGGCATATTTATTAACTTTGAACCCCTATAATTTTTTATGGGGGTGAGACCGCCACGAACTTTTTATAGTACAGACCTCCTCTTTCGATCCCCCTATCATCTAGACCTTTATCAAAATCTCTTTTAAGAACTTATTATAAATTACCTGAGCACAGCTAATAGAACAGCCAAATATGTTACATGCTAAATTCGACGACCTTTTCAAGAACACTATTTTCCCTATTTTCGCACGCTAAGAGGTAGTTATCTTTTAATTTAGAAATGATTAGTGGACAAATTATTAGTATTGTATTATTTTATGAAAACTTAATTCATTCTAACTTCAGACTAGGTCCGATACTGATCATCAACTTCTAAAATAAAGTTCTTTTTAAAAACTCTTTCGTTGGAACTTTTATCGGATCAAATATTCCTAGTTACTTATTTATTCATTTATGATAAACACTGGCCTTCAATGTCTTTTTTTGATTCTCGATTGTTTCAGAAATTATAAATATGATGCAGACGCATGTAAAAGTTAATCGATACTTTTCAACGTTACAATTTAATAAATTTGTTTCTTTATGGTACCGTTAATAAACATTTCAATAGCATCTATTTTCGTTTAGGTACTATAATTTCTGTAATCCCGAACATTCAAGGCCGTATAATTTTAAGTTTATCTCAAGTTACTTACTGTTATTACGCGGTTTATTAGTCAGAATTAATAGATAGACGATATTAAAGAAATGATGTTAAAATGATATTGACAACGACTCTAAGAAAATTATTGTTCTTTGTCGGAAAACTCTCAATTATACAGATGAATGTGAAATAAATTTAGTAGTCTATCGTGGTAATAGATACATAAAAATAATCACTTCACAGCATCCATAATTAACAGGATCTGTTTAATATTACGTCTGGAGATATTTCTGAACCGAACTAAAATTGGACGATAAATTGGTAAACAAATGGAGTACAGTACTCAACTGACGCAATCTTTGAAACTTTGAACAGAAAAAGAAGAAATCATTCGAGTAGAACGTCATCACGGAGAACTGACAATTCAATTGGAAAAAAATACGCGAAATACCAATAAAAGTCTATATTACGCCACGCAAATTTCGTTGTGTTACAATACAAAAAGAGAAACATTATTTTTCTTTATTTCTTTCATGAATTGATTGCCGACTGTGCTAAATTAAAATTGGTAACAATTGTTCTTTTGATACTGATATACATGATATACACGAAAGCACAATAACAGAAAGCAGAAAATATCAACCCAATTGTCCCCAAAAAATGCTTCGTTTCCTGAAAAATGTGATTGATTTTATTATTAAAGCTATTTTTAACTTGATGCATTTGAAGTTCTTTAATTACAGAATTTCTTTGAAGATATATATCGAGATCATGTTTTTAATGTCTCATTTTTCACTTGATGTGTTTTCTCTAATTACACAATTCGTTGAAAAATCAAAGCTGCTTGCACATTTTAATGACTTATTTACTAAAACTGCTTCAGAATATAGGTATGTAAACGAAAATAACTGTAAACCTAATAAATGATAAAACTCAGTCGCTTTTCTAATGGTTTCATCTTTTTTGACCAAGTACGTGCTCATAATACCTAAGCATCAAAGTAATTTACAAAAAAATTAATTAAAATACACTGAAATAATTTTATCAGAATTCAAAAATGCTTACAGGTTTCTTCGTCTTATGAATTTTGAATACTCTTTTAATGAGATTAAGTTAAATACAACAACTTCAGTAATTACAGAGTTTACTAATATAAACAACTACCTATTGATTGTGTGATGGTTTAAGGTCATTTTTAAATAACAAATGCCACCAATTGTAGCATTGAACGAAATAATTTGCAAAAACATAATAAGACTTAAAAATAAGTTACTTCGTATTTTTCACTTGAAGCGAATGAATTCTTTCAACTAAGAAGTTCGTTGAAAATTTGAACGAGATTCTTCTTAAAAATTGAAGGCCAGATTATAAATTGTACAAATCACCTTTCATGTAATAGTGTGTGTGTGTGTGTGTGTGTGTGTGTGTGTGTGTGTGTTTACAAGTGTTGTAATTAATTTTTTTCCATTGGGAGGATAGTGCAATTAATGAGCCACCCATAAGAAAGGTAAGTTTAAATAATCAAAAATGCATTTACCTAAAGGATGGTAGCACTGGTTTTGAAAAGAAGGTTCAAGAAGTACACTAAGCAGTCCAAGTATAGCCTGAGGAAACTCTGTTAGCAAGAACAAAAACAAAACCGCCAGCAACATAACAGTGGTGCGATCAGCTTGCTGTTCTTTATTATTTACTTTCTTCTCCACTTTCCCATCGACGACAATCTGAGGCAGACATCTCTTGTTCAATAGCCTATTTCTCCTCTTTTTCGTTCTGAGCAAAGTGGCTATGATTCGTTCTGACAAAATAGTCAGGAGTATGCACGGAACCAATTTTATTATAACACCATACACCCAAAAACTCGCTTCTTTCATATGTCCGATACTGACAACGTAGAGGGTGACGTTGTATTTCGAACCGTTATATTTCGACAGCTGAGCGTCGGGTATCAGCAGTCCATTGTCGCCAACGTATTTCATTTTTTCCATAATCTGATGAGACACGATCAGAGGAGAACACACGAAAGGACAAAGGACATATGTCATGAAAATTATTAGGTTCGTCCTCTTCGAGCTGCAAACGTTGCCACTCGTTTGAGGTTTTGTGATAATGATGTATCTCCAAATGGCAAGGATGACAGTGAGACACATCGAAATAAAGTGTCCAATTTGTGTGAAAAGTGCGTGAAAGATGGTGAAGACCGCCCAGCTGTAAGAAAAATACGATGGTGTCAGACGAGCCGTGGAGTCCAAATAGAAATGGGAGGCAAACGGAATGTATTCGAACATAACCAGGAGATCGGCCACCGCAAGGCCTGTTAAGATTGAGTTGGTCAGAGAATTCATCTCTTTTCTGGTAAGGACGAAGACATTGAGGATATTGGTGACGGAACCGAATACGCATACAAAAAGACTGAGATAACCGTGAACCTTCCTGTAACTCTTTGAGAATTCGGTTAGATTACAGTAAACGTAAGGAATGGTGACATTTGTCACCTCAAGGGAGTAGTTGAATGGTATCGACGAATTCATGATTATACTTTTTCTTCAAATGATGCCATGATGACTTCTTTCATCGGACAGCCAATGTATGAAGCCCAATTTGTTCTAACATCTCGTTCGAAATCTGTAAAAAATGAATAGGTAATAATTAAACATGAATAAAATAAGAAACAAAATCGGATTTTTAATTAAAGAACGTTTGCTTTGTTGTTGGAACAACGTTCCTTATAGAACGTTACGAAGGCAAGGAGCTAACTTTAACCTTAGTCAAAAGAAATAATTAATGTGATAGAAAATCGAAAATGAATTTTCACATTAATATTTTACATTAACCACTATTAATGATTAAAAATGTCATAGTAAGAATTTACTTGACACAAAAATTAAATTATACTTATTATAGAGATAGCTTTAAAACAGTACTGTACGAAAATAAATAAGAGTAAAACAAAAATACTGGTATGCAAGGAAAGAAAAAGTAGAGAAAGAGCGAATATAAAGATAGGAGACGAAAAATTAGAAGTGGCCGATTTTAGATACCTAGGAAGTCAGATAAGTTAGGGCGGAAGAAGTAGTAGGGTTATAAAGCAGAGGACAGCGCAGGGTCGAGTCGCCTTCAGTAAAAAAAATTCACTTATATTCTCGCGAACGGTTAATTTAGAAATTCAAAAAAGGTTGTTAAAGGTTTAGAGCGCGGCACTGTACGGGTGCAAAGCATGGACAGTGGGCGCGGCAGAAAGGTTAGAAGCGTTCGAAATGTGGTGTTACAAGCGAATGAGGATACCGTGGATAGATAAGGTTAGAAATGAAGAGGTTTTAGACAAAATAGGAGAACAAAAGACTCTTATCATCATAAGGTGATCAGTCCTAAGACTGGTAGAACACGAACCTCCACTCTTTCCTATCCTGAGATAATCTCCGCATTTCCCTAAAACTAGAACAACCCATATCCTTAACTATTTGCGAACAGTAACCTAATCTAGGTTTACCTCTACCCCTCCTAACACCTGTTTCATCCTCTAATATGTCTCTCACTTACTTAACCTTTTCTTTTCCGCCGCGCCTACTGTTCATGTTTCGCACCCGTACTGCGCCGTGCTCCAAACATAATCCTGTAACAACCTTTTTCGAATTTCTAAATTAACCATTCGCGAGCATAGAAGTGACTTATTTTTATTGAAGGCTACTCGACCCTGCGCTATCCTCTGTTTTATATCCCTACTACTCCTTCCGTCTTGACTTATCTGACCTAAAATCGGCCACTTCTTCTAAATTTTCTTTATATTCGCTTTCCTTACTTTTCCTTCCCTTCTAAACCAGTAGTATTACTTTTATGGAAGTCAATAATAAATAGGCGAGATAAGTTAGAAGGACATCTTCTTAGGCATGAAGGTGTAGTCAGAGACATATTAGAGGCAGAAACGAGAGTTAGAAGAGGTAGAGGTAGACTTAAATTAGATTATTGTTCGCAAATAGTTAAGGATGTGGGTTGTTCTAGTTTTAGGGAATTGTGATGATTAGCTCAGGATAGGAAATAGTGGAAATGCGCGTCCAATAAGTCTTGAGACTGACGATCTTATGATGATAATTATAAATTAAACAAAAATCTCGCATTCCTTGAGCTCACTCTAAATTCCCCAGGAATAGGGAAATTTCCGTAGGTCTGGTAACGTTAGCCAAAAATCGAATGTGTTAGTGAGTATCCCTTACTAACTGCTTACAGAGAGAAAGAGAAATGATAAGGTAGATTCGATTGGTCTAAATATATTCAATAGAAATCATTTTAAAAAACTTGGGAAGTTAACCTTTTGGAAGCAACCGATAGACCCAAAATTTCCATTTCAAAATATTTTGGGTAAATAACATTGTTAGATGTGTCAGTCCCCTTTTTTTACAGAATAACTTGACCAAAATTTATAATTAATATTTGTCGCAGTGCACATTAACTCCTGTCTAAATTAGGTAGTCGGTTAATGACACACACTAACTCCCCTCCAACATTTCTTACCTGCTAATAATGAATTTGAAAACACATAAACTCCCGTGTAAATAATTATACGACCCAGTAAAATGCAAAAAATTATTCATCTTGTTCATAATCAGGGCATTTTGACGTGACAACGTCTTATAATTCGATGAAGCCGGCTGCACGCACGAAAAAACATGACTCATGCGGCGTTACCTCGCTCTGAGGCGTTCCATTTAAGGCTTGAAGTGCAAACGAGAGCGCGGAACGAGCGACAAAGAGGAACAATCGGCCTCCGCGTTCGGCAGCGTTCGACACCTGTCTCTCTCCTACTTGAGTGAGCGATGCGTCCGCGTGGACAGCTGCTATACAATAATACATTTCCATTTACCTCCTTCTCAATATCCATACAAAATATCTATCAAACAAATAAAATTAAAATTTTCTTTTGAAAAATGAAACCATTCCATCAGTATTTTCTTATGACGATGTCACGTTCAATTATCGTCAGTAAACCGACTTTACAGACAACCGATTTTTTTTATAAACAGAGTACTTATTTGAAACACATTTTACAAAATCGAATCTATTGATTTTATTTTCCGAGTATTTCTTAATTTTTATGAATTATTACAAAAAATCAAATAAACGTGGTATATAATATAATTCTACCGTTATCTCAAATGTTTTCAAACCTGCAAGCGGAATAACAAAAAAATAAATCTGATTCAATTTCTGATTGTTAAGCACAATAAAAATATGTAAATTAATTGTAAAAAAGAAGGTAATCGATAAGAAGTTAGATCAGCGTACGGAGGAATTCCACCCATTTTCCCCGTTATATTCTGAACCTATGTTAAATTTACTATCACAAAAATAATGAGTCGATTATCGACTATAAAACAGATTTCCTACCATCCCACTATCTCAAAGCGTTCCAAAGAAATGGCGTGGAAATTGTCGCACAAATGTTGATGGTAATGGTATTGAATGTACCGCAAGAAGGCGAACTCTGTGTGTAGGGATTGAACGGCATGAGAATCGTATCAAAATTTCATTCAAGTGAAGAAATTACTCATTGGAAGATGTACAAGGTATCAAATTGAAATAGGAGTGACAAAACATGTGCAATTATCTGTGGCTGATAAGCAGTCAGAGGAAAAAATAAAGTTCAACTCTTACAATTCAGTAAAAATTAGTATTAAAATTGTAATTACTTTAGAAAATGAAAATAATATCATAGGCTTTGTTGTTGTAGAATTTTACAGGGTTGTTCGGAAAGTCATTTGGTTTTTTTTTGTGGAAATAAAAGACAGTTTTCGTATAATAAACAAATACTTTATTACATTATATATTCACCGTTCTGGTCCAACACCTTTTGCCATCTTTCTGGTAGTAGCATAATTCCACGCTCATAAAATTTTTGGTCTTTGCTGGCAAAAAACTGATCGAGGAGGTTTTTGACCTCCTCATTTGAGGTGAAGGTTTTACCGTCTAAAAAATTTTGGAGTGACCGGAACAAATAATAATCCGATGGTGCCAGGTCTGGAGAATATGGTGGGTGTAGCATTGTATCCCATTCAAGCTGTAAAAGCTTTTGGCGAGTGACCAAACTTGTGTGAGGTCTCGCGTTGTCTTGGTGAAACACTACACCTTTCCTGTTGATTAGTTCTGACCTTTTCTGTTGAAGTGCATCATTCAGTTTGTCCAGCTGATGACAGTAGACTTCCGAATTAATCGTTGTGTTATCCGGTAAAAGCTCAAAAAAAACGATTCCTTTAAAATCCCACCAAACAGACAGCATCACCTTTTTTTGGTGAATATCGGCTTTGGAAATGGTTTGAGCCGGTTCATCTTTTTTGCTCCATGACCTCTTGCGTTTGACGTTGTTGTATACAACCCATTTTTCGTCCCCAGTGATGATGCGCTTCAAAAACGGATCATTTTCGTGACGTTTGAGAAGCGAATCGCAGACGTCAATGCGGCGACACAGATTTCTCTCTGTGAGAACATGGGGAACCCATACATCGAGCTTCGAGGATAATCCCAGGCCTTTCAAGTGGTCATAAACTGTTGAATTTGATAAATTTAACCTCAATCCGATCTCACGTGTTGTTATTCGCCGGTTCACATCAACTAATGCCTTTATCGCGTCTTTATCAGCTTCAACCGGCCTTCCCGAACGTGGTGCATCTTCGACATCAAAATTGCCGGATCGAAATTTAGCGAACCAGTTCTGGCACTGGCGTACTGTCAACACACCTTCTCCATACACATCAGTCAATTTCTTTCTGGCTTGAACAGCATTTTTACCCTTTCTGTAGTAAAACAGTAAGATATGTCGAAAATGCTGCTTATCGCTCTCCATATTTAAAAGGGCACCAACCAAAAACTACTGCGTAGAATTAATTGGAATTTTTCACACACAAGCCTTGCTATATGAGCTCTCAAAGCATATAAAAATTATACGGCTTAAATGTGAAGTTGGGTGCAAAAGAATACAATTAAATCCTCTGTCGGGAAAAAACGAAATGACTTTCCGAACAACCCTATATATATAAAAGAAATTATGAGTGCTGCCAGCACAGGGCAAAGTAGTATTACGTAGTTAGTATCAACAATTTCTTATGCTGAAGTGTACGATGTGTTACATACCCACTTGCAAACAATTCTTTTAAATTTAGTTTTTCAAACAATTTTCAACACAAAGAAAGTGATTAAACAAATTGTTCTCAAAAGTGAATTTCGACCACTCGAAGTAATGGTGCTAACAGTTTCGAGCTCACCGTGACTGATAAGGGGTAAGAACTAGTACGTATTAAGGAAACATTTTTTAAGGGACTAGATTCCACAGACTCCAAAAATATCTTTTTTTACACCATAATATCATGTCATAGTAGATCATAAAAAGAAATGAACAAAACAAAATTTAAAAATTTTAGTTTTATCAAAACTACAATTTTTGCTCTTAACTTTTAAAGCACGTGTAATAGCACAACTGCTTAAGAGTTATCATCACAACGTTATCAGTCCGAAAACCGGCAAATAATCTACTTCCTCCTATCGGGAGTGGAGGTCTAGCTAGTCCGAGATGAGCCCAGTATCAAAATTTATTGGGAGAGTGTAGTTATTCGATTGTGGCGAAGTCCGAACCCGAA